GAATAACCCAGAGCTAAATAGACTGAAGGTTGTTCTTTATTTGGTGGTGGTGGGATGGGGGTTCTACAGTTCAATTATTTTATTTTCAGTTAAAGTTCACAGACATTCAGAAGAAAATCAGTAAAATAGGAAATCTTAACCCTCTTGGTATGTATGCTGTAAAGTTCTGCAGAGTTGATGCTAGATTTAGGTGGGGGTGTTGTTTTGGAGTTCCTTAAATACTTCCAGTGTTTAGTCACACTGGTGGAGCTCGGTTTGGGAATAGTTTATTGCGAGCAGTTTCAGGAAGCCTGATGCCTTGAGCAAACAGTCTAGTTTTAGACTGAGCCATTCGAAGTTCTGGAAATGGTGAAAATATTTTTTCTTTATTTGTATCCGATAATGTTAGTTTTCACTTTCAAAGTGCAGTTCTTTAAATGAGAACATGGAAATGGTGAGAAAATTGTCCTGCTGCAGTCCATCCCTGGTAAGCGGACAACAGAACAGCTGTTTATGACTGCAGCAGAGTCCAGAGGTCTCCTCAGTCTCTGCACGAGGATCGCCAGTTGTCCCCTGGTGATGAGGTCATCGCTCAGCTGTTCGAGGTCTCTCTTGGTACCATGTTAGCTGCCCTTCGCTCCTCTGAGACTGAAAAATGAGAGCCCCCCCCCCTCCACACTGCAGTGAGGGGAGTCCTCCAGAGCAGTCAACAGTAAAAAGTGCCTGCAGCCTCACAGGGGATCATTGATTCAGCAAAACAAACAGACCATGGTTTCTGCCTTTAAAGGGCCAGGCAGCAAAAAATGGCTTTCTCTTAGAACTTTAAACAAGAAGTTGTAATATTAAAGACTGCAAACTAAATCTATTCATGGATATTTTATTAACTTAAGGTGTATTATTCTCTGAAGATCTGAATGGCTTATTTCCTGTTTGTTATTGTTAGGCCTCTGCTTTGTTCAGTTAAATCCAGTTAGATGTTAGAAGTTATTCTTCTATTCAAAGCAAAATAATTTGGGCTCCTTCTGATTTTAGTTAATTATAAATCAAGTTGTTTTAGGTTACCTGTTGTCAAAGGTGGGTATAAAATGTCTGCAGGGTTTGTACAACATGATGGATGGTCAGTGTGAAACAAACAAATATGAAATGACCAACAACCTATGAGTTTGTTCTATTGTTTTATTTGTCATGAAACTTAAATGTCTGGAAAAGCCCAACCACAGTCCCTGGCAGAAGTATTTTTACACACTTAGCTTTTGTGGGTCTGACAGCGTTACAACCACAAACCTCTGTGGGTTTTCTTTTAATTTTGTTTGGTTCATAGTGTGTTTAGGAAGTATTGGGAAAATTATAAGGGGGTCCTCCTGTTTTTGTTTTTAGTTATAAAGGTTTAATAGATGGATAGAAAAAAAAATCCAGAATCATAATTCTTAAAAAAAAAAAAAAAAGAAAAGAAAAAAAAAGTGATTTCTGGATTCCCATAGCAATTTCAGACCCCTCCATGATTTAGACCATGCAGGGTGCGAAAAATGCATTGATATGGAAGTTCACAGTATTAATATATATGGTGAAAATATGCAGTATTTTAAGTTTGGTGTTATCAGTGTGATGCAGAGTCTGTGACATGATTTTAGAGTTTTTCAACAGTTTAGTAGTCTGATGGTAGTGTGGAAGAAACTGTTGCAGAATCTGCTGGACCTGCATCAAAAGCTGTGAAGCCTCTTCCCAGAGGGCAGCAGGGTCCATGTTGGGGGTGGGAGGGGTCATTGATAATGTTACGTTATGTCATTGATGATGGTACAGGCTCGGGGAAACGCAGCNGGTGCGAAAAATGCATTGATATGGAAGTTCACAGTATTAATATATATGGTGAAAATATGCAGTATTTTAAGTTTGGTGTTATCAGTGTGATGCAGAGTCTGTGACATGATTTTAGAGTTTTTCAACAGTTTAGTAGTCTGATGGTAGTGTGGAAGAAACTGTTGCAGAATCTGCTGGACCTGCATCAAAAGCTGTGAAGCCTCTTCCCAGAGGGCAGCAGGGTCCATGTTGGGGGTGGGAGGGGTCATTGATAATGTTACGTTATGTCATTGATGATGGTACAGGCTCGGGGAAACGCAGCGCTGGGATAAAATGTCTTTGATTTTTAAGTGGGAGAACAAGCAAAGCAGCAGAGTGTTCAAATACTTATTTTTCTCACTGCATGACCACTTTATCTAGTAAAAGTATTTTGCATTTGTGCTTTTTTGAATAAATTTCAATGAAATTCTAAATTATAACTTTATGTAATAGAGTTATATTTCTTTATTTTAAAAATATGCTTGGTCAGTAAAAAAATGTATCTTAGGTCCACTTGGCCGGTGAGTCAAAAAATGTGTTTCGAACCCTGGGCCACGGCCTGACCATGGTCAGGGTTCGAGCGTTTCCACCTAGACAGGGGACTCCTTTGAACTGCTTTGAGTGGGGCGACCTTCCCAGGGGGTGGGACGTCTGAGTCATTATTAGGGATTAAATAGAACTCCTAGAATGACTGCTTCTGTGTGTTTTAAGGTATAGAAGTTTTCCAAGAGTCATAGATTCTGAAAAGTACTGCTTCAGAAGCACGGAAGCTATGGTCCTGCACCACAGTCCAAAGTTCAGAACCTGATTTCATCATAGTGCTGTTTCATGACTCAAATAATCCTTTTCTGGCCAATCACTGAATGTACTTTTAATGTGTGTGTGTATATATATATATATATATATATAACTGCCAGGTGCCATAAAGCCAAAATACACCCTTTTAATGTCCCAATCTTATGTTGTTGATAAATAAGACATGTAAAACAATACAAATGTGTGTTAATGAACATGAGGTAGAGCTTTCTGTAATACATAAAAAGTTTAGAGCATTGACAGTGGCTGCTTTTTGTCCAGTTACCCCTAATTAAGGAAACCTGATCGGATCCTTTGCTGTTATATTCTTGTTTAAACCTCAACAGGATCCAATAATCAAGACAATAATTAAATTTTTAAAAGTGAATTTTCTGCTGTTTTGAAGCAAAAAGCTTTTTCTGTTTTCTGTACAAAACAGATGTTTGCGGTTCACTTCGTTACAACTAGACATTAAAAGATCTTCGTTAATCGGACACACTGAGATCAAATTATAATGTATAGAAAAAGGCTAATCATGTGACCCGAATTAAAGTGTTTGTACACCCCAACATGAATTAGAGCAATGTTGTTTGGTAAATAAGAGCATTAGTTAGAGTATAAGGCTTGACATATACATTAGTGGAACTGTTTGTGTAGAGAACAGACTGTTATTGTGGAGAGGTCCCCTCCCCTCCACTGAAGGACTGGACTCTTATTTGGGAAGGGAAGCCGCCAGCTCAGAGCCTCGCAGGATTGGAGGAAACAGCCGTCCAATGGTGCTGCAGAGCCACACTGCACTGACTTTACACCAACTTTTTTTCCTTCTCTTGTGGAGAACGGATTGAGAACGTGAACAGTGAAGAGAAACTGCCTGATCTGAGCTCTGTCTGCTGATTAAACCAGAAGAATAGAGCGGTGTTGGCCTGAGGTGAGCGAAGCCTTTAACAGCCCAGCAGCAGGATTAAATCCTGTAATCTCTCCTCCTCTGTTTTAGCCGTAGGGAAAGGAGTGAGGAGAAGGTGTTGGAGCTGGGTGGACTGGGAGAAAGAGCAGGGCTGTTTATTTCCAGCCTGTGTTTTCTTTAGTTGGGGAGAGTTCCAGGCATACCAAGAACAAGACGCTGTGTTCAGTCAGTATACAGCAGCCAGGAAAGCTGCTTGACTCACATGTGAAAGGAGGCATTTTTTAGCTGGCTGTGTTGGAGTTTGGACTTTGATTTGACCTGCTCTGATTGATCTGCAGCTTGTTCTTAGCTCCTCAGTGAGTGTGCTCAGTGTAGGTCATCTTGTCCAGAAAAAAACTGAACTGTTGACAGCAGGGTGGATTTTGAACCAGAAAATGTTGACACTGTGCCTTTTTGTGTGCGTTGTAAACAAGCGCATTAACTGTTATCTGTGGAGATTTCAGCGGTGTTTTGAGCTGAGGTTAAGCGTTGTCTGCTAAACTGATCACTTATGCTTTCCCAGCAGATGTAGGAGGCATGTTTGTACTTGCTGTCAGATTATGATGATTGTTACCAGCCAGATAATTTTCTTTTACACCCAAAACAATCTGTGCATCTCAGAAAATGTAAACGATTGAACAACCTTTGCTTATTTGCTGTTTTTTAGGTAGAGATTCAATAAATATTCCCTTTGCAAACATCAAAGGTAACAACACATGGCTGTTTTGGGCTTTTATACCTTTAAACAGTTTCTCACTTTGCACCTAAACCATGTTTATATGTTTGTTTGTTTTTTATTTAATGACCATAAAAGTGTTTACACTGAATGTGAAGGTTGGTTTATCATTATATATTTTGGGAAAACTTTGTATAGCTTCCATCCATCCATTTTCTATCACACTTATCCTTGCTGAGGTCATGAGGGGTGCTGGTGTCTATCTCCAGCTGTCAATGGGCGAGAAGCGGAGTACACCCTGGACAGGTTGCCAGTCTATCGCAGGTCAAACTTTGTATAACACCTCATTTATATTTGTTTTGGCCCCTAATTTAGATTTCTGCCAATTGATGCAGATGAGCTGTGGCACATTAAGACCCCAAACCAAAACCAAATGAACTCTGACTCATCCCTCCTGTTTTATGTATTAGCATTTTAAAATCTTTTTTGTGTGAAACTTACTCAGAGCAAAATATTTTGAAAGTTGCTCATTTCATGTCAGGTGAGAATAAAATGTCATCTTATTGGTAAGAAATAAATACTGCTTAGTGTAAAAAGACTTGTAGCAGACCACTCTTATTTATCCTGGAAAAAGTCTGTCACAAAATGCCAAACATGCAAAGTAATAAACCGGGGGAGTAAGCTAAGTCAGCTGTTAAAACATAAATGTTTTTTTTTTTTTTGTTTCAAATCCAGATGGATAAATGTTTTCTGTGTCGTCATCTCTTTCAGAAAGAGCACAAACATGCCCGAGCACTGGAGATGAGAAGGACCCTTACTACGTTGAAACTCCTTACGGTTACCAGTTAGACCTGGATTTCCTCAAATATGTCGACGACATTGAGCGGGGAAACACCATCAAGAAGCTGAGCATCCAGAGGAAACCCAAAGTTGCCAAACCTCTGGCAACGCCTCGGGGCAGCACTGCCGGGGTCGGCACTCGGCCTGAATGGACCTCCACAGATTCCCTGTCCTCCTCCAACAGCGATGGGAAACAGTCCCCGGTCTTTTTTCCCTCAAGGCACCAGGACGCCACGCTGTTGAACCCCCCCCTCCCCAGGGCGACCGTTGAAGCCCCTGTGGGCCAGTCGTACTCAGTCTTGGCAGAACAGAAGCAGCTCCTTCCACCACCTTCACCCAGGTTTGCTCCTCGTCACAACCCCCTAGTGGAAAAGACGCTCATGGAGACCCGGCGGCGGCTCGAACAGGAGCGGCTGCTCATCCACAATGAGCCTCTGATTCCTCGCCGTCGACTGGCCAGCTTTGGAGGCATGGGCTCCAGCAGCTCGCTGTCATCTTACTCCAGTTCAGTCGCCCCGAGCCAGATCTCCCCCAGCACCCACCAGCCTCTACCCATTAATGGCCTGTCTAATGGAGAATATAACCCTTATTACTCACAGTCCAGAGGCAGCTCCATTCGCCACAGTCCCATGAGCTCAGGCGTGGCCACACCGGTGACCAACGTCAGCCCGTTACACCTGCAGCAGATCAGAGAGCAGATGGTCGTGGCCCTGAAGAGGCTGAAAGAGCTGGAGGAGCAAGTGAAAACCATTCCTATCCTACAGGTGAAGATCGCTGTTCTGCAGGAGGAGAAAAGACAACTAGCCGCTCAGACAAAAAACCAAGGTCTCTGTGGCTTCCGCAAGCGTTCCTACAGTGTGGGCAGCGCCGACCAAATGGAGAGCTCTGGATCTGTTCAAAAGGAAACTGAGCTGCAGATCGTAGAGCCAGAGGTCCAGGAGCAGAACACCCAGCGGCTGGAGGAGTTCAGGCGTCTGGCTGCTGAGGTTCAAGCTCTGGAGAAGACGACCAAGGAGCATCATGTGGCGGAAGTTCAACCTCCAAACCAGGTCTGCCAAAAGTCCATTGGGGTGGTTACAGATGAAAACATGAACAATCTTTCCTTCCCTCTGAGAAAACTGCAAACAGAGAGTTGTTTCCGTGATGCGGGGATGGTGACGGAGCGGCTGGAGATGCGGAGCACCGGAATTGTTGTGACCGAGGCCATGCTGGGCGTGACCAGTGAAGCTGACAGAGAAATCGAGCTCCAGCAGCAAACCATCGAAGCTCTGAAGGAAAAAATCTACCGCCTGGAGGTCCAGCTTAAAGAAACGACTCACCAAATGGAGATGGGGAAGCTGAAACTTGAGCTCCAGGCAGCCGGAGGATCAAACAAGAAGAAGGCAGATAAAGGGTTAATGGTGAAGCCAGAGATGTACAATGCAGGCGTGGAAGCCAAAGTCCAGATGCGCAGTCAGGCAGTGGGTGAACATCTGGAATCAGACCAAACAGCTGCAGATAAGGTTCTGCAGACCCACACAGTGGGGGTGTCCTGTCAGCCCAGCATGCAGAGCATTGCCACGGGACCGGAAACACCCATGGACCAGTGGGTGGTGCACCAGCGGGTGGAGGTGAGTGACCAGTGCGTTGGGAGGTGGGTAGAAACATGTCATCAGCTGGTGGGGGTGGAGCAGAGTGTTTGTGAGGTAGGAATAAACACAGAGGAGTCGGTGGAGAGACCAGACCTCTATAGAACCACGACAGAACCAACCAAACAGTCCAGATCGATCGGCTGCGGCGATTGTTCTGTGGATGTCAGCATCACTCCTGTGAAGACGTTGGTCTCTCAAGGAACCGACCCAGATCTCGTTGGTAAGGTGGACTCTGCCGTTATGGCGTCTCCAGAATCTACGTGTCAACAGACTGGTACCGATGCGGAGTATGAGAGTAAGTCCACCAACACGAAAACAGCCGAGGTGATAGACTCCTTCACCGGGATGGAGCTGACCACCTGTGATAAGCACACCAACACGGCAGCAGCGGAAACCAGGACTGTAGCTGCGGGGGAGGGACTCGTCCGAGATGTTCTGACCACAGCTAAAACGCGTTCAGTGGCTGTTGGAACTGGCAGCGACGGGGGGTCACTTCCCAGTAAACCAAACCCAACTAAAACCAAAGAATGTGGGGTGGGCCCGGTCAGCATCCATGACAATTTCCTAATTGGCCTAAAAACCCGAAACATTGCAGTTGGTCCTTCTCAGCCCCCCGACTCTTCCGCAAGCAAAGCAGGGAAGACAGAAGCTGCAACACCAGAGCCACAGGGTGGCGTCGGCCTGGACCATTACATAGAAAGGGTCCAGAAGCTGCTGCAGGAGCAGCAGATGCTGCTGGCAGAGAACTACAGTGAGCTGGCGGATGCTTTCGGCCAGCCCCAGTCCCAGTTCGGATCCATCAACAGCCAACTGGTCAGCACGCTTTCGTCCATCAACTCTGTGATGAAGTACGGGAGTGGCGAGAACATCCTGAGGCTGCACTCAAACTCCAGCACAGGTGAGCATGTTCCTCATTTCCTTGCTCCCAATATGCAAACATAACATTCCTGTCCCTCTGGGTGAGCTTCAGCAACATGTGGTTTGAGTGATGATTGGCTCAGAGTCATGCCAGGCAATTAAAGCATAGTTTCAAGGGCAGACAACTGAAAACACACACACACACACACACACACACACACACACAAAATGTTACTAAAGAAGAAAAGGGCTGAAAAACCGGCCTGATGAAGATCTAAATACATTCTCGTGTGTCTCAGAACAGTAAAACTTTTACAAGCCTCCTCTATTAGTATTTCAATTCCATAAATGTCCACCAGGAACCAATAAAAAAAGCTTTGGCTAAGGTTATACCTAAACAAATCTGAGTCTTAAACGTTACAGGATCGCTTTGTTTTAACTTCAGTTATTTAAAACTCTAACCCTAAAACCTTCACATATCTATGATAAACATTGAGCTAACACAATATGGAAACAGATGGAAAATATTCACACGCTTTAAACTTTTTACAGCTTAACTCATTTAACCTCTTTAGTATCTTATTGGGATCTTTAGTAATTCATCAACAAAAAGTAGGAGACAGATCCACGATTTCAAAATGTTTACAAACAGAAATCTGAAAAGTGTGGCCCGCATATTTTTATTCCTTCCCCACTTACCAGAACACCCGAATAAAGTCTAGTACAAATTATTTCCTACAGAAGTCCAGCTGTGTGTAATTGGTTCCCAGAATAACTGCAGCTGTTCTCTGACAGCTTCTGAGGTTTGTTTGAGAATGTTGGAGAATAAACAGCAGCAACATAACGACCAACAGACACAGCAGCCAGAGAAGTTTACAGCAATTGGTGGTAAAACAGAATCACTGCAAAATTAGAACGCATCTGTTAACCTGAACTAATGGACTTTAAGAAAAGCAGCCATTTTAATTCTGGAAGAGCTGTTTAGTCCCCCGGCTCGGGTAGGGAACCTGTCAAAGGGATAAATATGTTGGACTTTTATATCTTAAGGAAACTTAAGGAAAGGAAGCAAACATGTGGACAAAGGTTTTCTGGTCAGATGGGACCAAAACAAAACCTTCTGGACTGCATGCAAAACACCATGTGGTGAAAAGCCACATCACTACATGGTGGTGGCAGCATCATGCTAAGGGAAATCTTCTCTTTAGCAGGTGCAATGAAGCTGATGGGAGGACGGATAGGATTGGGGACAGAGTAGAGTGTTAACCCGGCTTCAGACAGAGTCTGAGGTTCACCTTCATACAGCCAGGGGTGTGATGGATCACTTCAGGCCAGTGACCTCCAGCTATAGGTGGAAAATCCATGCTGTAACTCAACAGAATCTACATCAACAGCCAATGTATCAGGAACATGCTTAACAGGCTTAAGTTGTTGCATTTAAAGGCTCTAAACCAGTTCAGAACCTCTGGTTTGGATGAAAACCTTTGACCCTGTTGAAACGGAAAGGAACACCAGGATGACATAGCTGTTGCTTTTTTTTTTTTTTTTTTGCACAAAAAAAATAGCATGAACGCCTATGTCCAGATGTGCACAGCTGGTTTAGTACAAACACCCAACAACCTGCAGCGAAATGTTGCCTCATTGGAGCTCAATATGGATGCCTGCCATTTTTGCAAAGCTTTGTGTTGATCCATCACTAAAGGGACTGAAGAAAAAGATTGCAGTTTTTCCAAGGCCCAGTGGTGTTTAAGGTTGGACCCTAAAACTATGGTACAAGGTCTGCCTTCAGCCGAGGATGTTGGACTCTGGGTGTTTGCTTTAGCTCGTCCATCTTTACATTTTTTAGAACAGCTCTAGGTTAATAAATGCATCAGGAAACATTCTCCCAAGCTATGAGCTAGTATTATCTGAAGCCTCCATCTTTCTGCTCAGCTGGTGGAGGCTGGGTCGTAGACTTTAGCGTTCAAACGCGGTCTAAAGATAATCCTGATAGGATCAGACAGAACAAAGTTATCCCTGACCCAAGAAGAAATGCTGTCTGGACAGGAACCAGCAGTGAGCTCATTTCTGTCCAGAGCTGCAGCTTCGCTCCAATCCCGCTCTAAACTGTTGTTGGTGATTTTGTTTAGTTTTTTATGAGCTGTGCTACCTTGGCTAACACCTCCCTGTTGATGAGGATTCCCTGCTCCTTGTGAATTATGTAACAAGCATTCATGCTGACCAGCAAATGAATGTGGGCCGATTGTCTGGTGTTTCTGGCCTTTTGTGGAGCACTCAATGACTAAGCAGCTCCCTCTAAAGCAACTCAGTAGGATTAACAGCACTGGACACGTAACAGTTTGTTAAAATGGTTTTACTTTCTGGGCTCTATTCACAGCAGTTTTCTTGACAATTTTTTTTTTTTTTATGTTTCCTTTTTTTAAACAGCTGTTAGATGTTTTCTACATTGATTTATATTATAAAACAAACACAAAACTGTATTTCTTCAGATATTTATATAAACCTCCTGCAAACCAGTTGAAGACTTCCTCTGCCCACTCAAGAGGAACCTTTATTCTGTTAACAGTTACTGTTTCTCTGTCGTTCAGAGAGCTCTCTGCAGCTCACCTCACCAGACGTCGGGATGGCAACTGCAGATCATCCAGAGAACATGCATGCACAGCAGCAGATCAGTGCAGCAGAGCAGAAGAGCCGCATGGATCTGCAGATGTCTACGGCACTGCATGGTACTGAAGCCTTTCTTTATGTTTCTAAGTGTTTAATCATGACTTGTTATACAGTAATTAGCATGGCACACATTTTTGATGAAGATTCAAACAGCAAAATGACTGTGTGTGTGTGAAAATAAATGAGACCATAATATGGTTTCAGGTTACAGTTGGAACCTGATGGTTTTAGGTAGTTGTTTTATAGAATCTTTATCCCTGTCATTAGAGAGGAGTCTATTTTTATTTTCTTTTTAGTTTTTGCATTTATAATTCAGGCTCCTTTAGAATCAGGAAGGACACTTAGACCAATCTTAACCAGCCAGTCATCTGAGAATCCATCCTTCCACACAGTCTGGGGAAAAAAAAAAAACAGTGGAAAGCCTGGAAACAACTATGATCTTATCTGGTAGCACGGTATCCTATGATCCCCTGATTAGGAACAGATCTAGAATCCCTCACCAAGTGGCAGAAGGTGGGAGGAAGAAAATATCACCCGAGGAGCTCCGCTCACACTCCCACCTGTCAAAACATGGGAAACATGTTGTATGACTCTGTTGCTATTGAACCCCCCCACACACACATACACACACCCACTGCATTCATGTTGCGACTTGACGCTCCACACACTTGCAGCTTCTTTGCTGTCCCCTGCAGCAGTAAAGAGGCCCCTTCATGGCGGCGGGTCCTGGCAGATGTGCGGAGTGTTCTGGCTCTCTGCTGGTATTTTGGTTTTCCTCAGGCCTGCACTTAAAATGACTGAGATGCTTCTGGCTTTGAGGTATCTCGAAGTCTCTCTGGACACTTCATGGCTCTCAAACCCTCTTAAGAAAAATGGCACCTGTTAGTTGTTTTTTTTAAATAGCAGCCGAGGTTTTTAAAAGACATATGAAAAATAAGAAAGTTATCAAAGCAAAAACAATGCATTTCAGTTTGAGATAAAATGAATGGATATTTGGTTTTTAAAGGATTGTGTCCTCGTCGCATGTTTTCCCTGCAGGTCAGCCATGCAGCCAGAATAACCTGAAATCCATCATGAAGAAGAAAGATGGCCGAGCTGACGCCAACGGTACCAAGAAGAACCTGCAGTTTGTTGGCGTAAACGGAGGGTAAGCGTAACGTTTGAATTGTTTTTGTTTTGATTGTTCCCACATGGGGGTAAAGATGCTGCCGATTTTAGGTTTACTCAGCTGCTGCTCTGATGCTCTCCCCTCTTAGAGCCTTGTTAACACCCACCCGACCACTCGCATGCAAAATGTACTGAGGAAATCTGAGCTGCAGCTTCTGAAGGTCTGCTGCCTTCTTACCCTGTTTTCGCCCCCTTGTGGTTTAGATATGAAACTACATCAAGCGACGAGTCCAGCTCAGATGACAGCAGCTCCTCTGGGTTGGAGGATGAGGAAGATGAGGACGAGGAGAAGGACTACGGAGGAAAGAAGGATGAGTACAAGGAAGTGAGAGGAAGAAGAATCGGGGAGGAGTTTCAAAATGAGGGAGCCGAGGATGTGGATAAGGAGGAGGAGGAAGGTTCAGAGAACGAGAAGAGGGAGAGGTTAGTCATAAAGAGACTTGTGAATCCTAGAGGAGATGATACATACCTTCCTAAAGAGAGTCTAGAAAAGTTTTCTAGTTTAACATATTTTGAAAGTCACCAGAGCCTGAAATCAGACAATATTTGTGATCAAATGTGCAAATTTCTTTTTTTATTTTGTGGTTTGATACAGTTTAACAATTTTTCAAGGTTTATGTCCTTTAATTTCTACAACAGACTTGTTGCAGATATGTTAGACTTAAGCTGTTTGGGATTATAGGTTCCTACATATCAGATGTTTCATGAAAACATGCTCTGCTTTCGTACTGGTGAAGTCAAACTATAATAATTTGCCATCAGGTTTGGATCTGTGCTGTGTTATAGGAATGCTGTCATAATTATAAATGTACATGCATGGATAGGTATTTAGGTATTTTTGAACTAATGTATTTTGTTTGTTTTTTAATGTAAAGGTATGAGCTGAGTGAGAAGATGTTGGCTGCGTGTGACGTTCTCAACACTCACCTAAACGACTCGAAGGCTGTGAGCAGCAAAGATCTGGTGAGGAGATCCATTTTATCGGCTTTTAATCAGTAAATGAATCACTTTTTACGTTTTTTTTTTCATTGGCTGTATACACCTTTAGAGGGAAAAATAATGTTTTATTATATCTTAACAGAATCTCAAGATAAAAAAGCCAAAACTAAAATTTGCTTCAAAGATAAATGTTAAAAACATTAATATTTTAACTGGTTTAAATATCATAGATATACAGAAATATCCTAAAGAAAAGTAGCAACTGTAAAACTAGTTTAATATTTATTACTTATAAAGGATGCACTGTGGGATGTTTACATGTTACACATTATTAGATCCTGTTCTAAAGTATAAAATCCATCTACTCTGTGTGGCTGTTGGGTCTTTATCCATATATTTTTACACTATTTTGACCTTAATTAATGGATATTTATTGTTGCCCCCTCTTTGTCCATATGTGAATATTTGTCCATCTTCTAAATTTATTAGAACCTCATTGAAATGCTTTTCTAAACAAACTCCCTCATTAAAACATTTAGTAATCTGCATTTTCATTTAAGAGGAGGGAAAACAACCTTCTCTGCTTAGAAATGCTATTTTTATCGGAAACATCATTTTTATAGATGTTCCCTGGTATATTTTTAGTTTCTTACTTCTGTTGTTATTGATCTTGGAACTTTATATTAGTTATTTATGAGTCTACATTTCAGCCACTAGGCTAGATGAGGACCCATGTTTATTTAACCACTTTGCAAAGTGAGCAGGACAGGAAGTGAGGTGAAAAAGTTCAGCTGCAGCAAAGAGCGTCATCTTGGGGTCATCAAGTCTCAATTACAGCCAGGTGCTCCCCAAACAGCAGCAGGGTGTTTGGGGAGAAAAAAGCCTTGCTTTGTTTTTTTTTTTTTTATGGTAATTAGTTGTGGCATGTACTCCCTGAGTTGATTGTTTTTGCAGACCCCACTGCCTTGATATCACTGATGGGTCTGCATGTTTGTTGATGTGAGTCTAAGCTGGTTAGTGACTCTGGCCTGCCTCCACAGAGAGCCAGCCTGAACACTGTGCAGCACGAGTGGTTCAGAGCATCCAGCCAGAAGGCAGCGGTCGCCGGGATGGTGGAGGACTACCTGCGGGCTTTTGAAGCCGTCTCACCAGACGTGCTGCGCCACATCGTCAACATGGCCGACGGCAATGGCAACACTGCGCTGCACTATAGCGTGTCTCATTCCAACTTCCAGGTGGTGAAGAAGCTGCTAGATGCAGGTGAGGGCTAAAAACACACTTTTTTTGTTCTGTGTTCAGTTTGACCCGCCAAAGCCAGGTCTGATTGCTGCCAGAGCCTTAGAGTCAAGAAATCCTCTTAGTAGGACCAGACCACATGAAGCTGGCCTTCAACAGCTTAAATCAGAAACATCACTGATAACTCAGTACCTTAAGAAATAGTGTTTAAACAGTGAAACTCCCCAAGTTGACTTGTCCAGATAAGAAAAGAACCCATCACCTATAAGTGATCAAAACATAGATTTTACTCTTTATAAGAAATTCCAAAACATTCAGCCATCTGTTTAAAAGCTTGAACTACAGCGTCTGGAAAACAACAAAAAGACACACCAGTAAGTTCACCTCTGAATGGCTCAGAAAAGCGAAAAATTAACACTTTGGAGTGGCCTAGTCAAAGTCTGGACTAAAATCAGATGCTGTGCCATGATCTTAAACAGGCTACTCATGCTTTCTGGCAGATACACAAAGCTGCTGATAACCAGCTGGTGTCGCTAAGGACGGCCCCAGCTTATCATGCATTATTCTTTAAATAGATTCATCATAATTTAAACGATGTGTTTTGCATCTGGTTTATCTTTGATATTAAAAGTTTGGTTCTCATCTGAAACATTAAACGTGATAAAACGATAAAAAGCTTCTTTTTCTCAGCATGTGTTCAAAACGTAAATCTAGAAAGAACTTGAACTGTTTACACTCAACCTGTTCCAGTGCTGCAGCGTTTTTAAAGCTCTAATGGACTGGGATAAGGTCTCAGACACTTTCTGCTCTAATCGACTTCTATCTCCTCGTCCTTTTTTTGGACTGAGTCTCTGTGACAGCACATCCACCCCTCCCTGCCCTCGCAGTCACTGCTGTTTTGGTCCTTGTGATACCAGCTATCAAGATAATGAATCGTGTTTACAGGCGTCTTACAGGCAGCTTAAGGAAGAGACTGCCTGAAGCCTGATAAATCTGGACTGTTATTGCGGAGGAGTCAGTTACAGGAAGGAGCCCAATCAGCGTGGAGCAGGAGGGGGGGGGGCTTAGCTCCCACAGTGAGATTTAAACTCTGTGTTTGTGTTTCAGACGTATGCAACGTGAACCAGCAGAATAAGGCCGGGTACACGCCCATCATGCTCGCCGCGCTGGCTGCCGTGGAGACGCCAAAGGACATGTGCATCGTGGAGGAGCTTTTCAGCAAGGGAGACGTGAACGCCCGTGCCAGTCAGGTGGGTCACAGGGGCCTGCAGAGCATGATGGGGAAAGTTAATGTGGAGTAACATAGCTTGGTTTAAAATTGGTCTTGTTCCTCTTCAGCATCTCATGTTTTTTCTGTTTTCTTCATGTGTTCTGGGAACGTTTGTACTATAGTGACCCCTAGTGGTCTTTACACTGTTTGCATGATCAAAAGTTTAGGGAATTTAAAAAAAGACAAGAAATGGCATTCTGCACATTTGGATCCTCAGCTGGTTCTAAGCAGAGCTTCATGATTTATTTATTTTTTTATTTTGTAGGAATTTTATTTTAAAAAAACAGCTTAACTTACATGAGCTGTTCTTAAGCTGATAGGTTTAAGATTGGCGCCTCGAAAAAACAAAAATGTGGATACCTTTTTATGATATCAGACAAGTCCTGTCAAACCACCTGATTGCTAAATCCAAACAACTCACTGACATTGAATGTGGAAGTATTGGTGAGCTACATACAAGCTTTCTCTCAGCATGTTTTGAAAATTAAATAAATGAAGAAAACTGACCTACTCAGATTAAAGCATGTGCTGACTACTGGTCAAAACCCACCAGAATGCATCTGCAAGGAAAGGGCTTTAAAAATGACAAATGTCATCAGAAGCTCACTTCTCCTTTAGTGTGACAAAAAATTACACGTTTAGACCTTGAACTGGAGCAACCTACATACTGGAGAGCTGAAAATGTTTTAATTATTCTGATATAAATAAAACTTGCCTGGATGGTTCTGATGGGTTCAGGCATTGCTGACATAATGAGTAGATCCCTCCTGGAAGGTTTTGAACGACTCAGTTTTTGGGGAGCAGTTCAGCTTCAGGCTGGCAGTGATATGGAGATATTTTTGCAGACATCTCTGATTGATGGTCTTCCTTTGTGCCGTTCACAATACCTGTCCGTCGATAGACTTCTTCCAGGAGATTAACGTCATCTTTTGTTCCCCTGATCTAACTATAGAGTGAATTTTGTTCCATTACTGTGGCAAGCAAAGAACATGCTTTGTAAATTGAAATTTAAAAAAAAAATCAGCTTTTTTCAGCTATTCCTCCAGAGTGAGGAGAACAGGTGTATTTCTGTTCATCTGCATGGGGCAAGAATACTTTTATTGGCCACAATGAAACATTTGTTTTCAGCTTGTAATAAAAATGATCTGTTAAACACATTTTGGATAGAATGACATTTTTTAAACATTATATGAAAAGGGGTAATTTGAAAAGAATAAATAAAAAATACAATTTGAAAATGTTACATTTGTAAAAAAAAAAATTGTAAAAATAAATATTGAAAAAATAAAATCTAAGAAAACAGCAGAGTTGCTCTCAATCTTTTTTCATTAAGACGTTTTTTTTAAAGTTACATGTCTGGATTCCTTTTTCTTTATTTTATTACCATTAGTAAAACATGTTTTTACTTGCAACAATAATGGAACAAAATTCACTCCTAATCTAAATGCCTCTTGTGATCCCCCTTCAACACCCAGACTACCGATCCCCTAAACCTCTTGGATACACTAGCAGCTAGCATCACTAAACGACCTCTCCACTTTTATTTCTGTTCTAAAAGTTTTTTTCTATATTAAGAGCATTTTTAAGTGAGAGTGTTATTTTCAATAATTTGCTCAAAAGTTTTAAAATCTTTTTTGGGTGGGGGTTAGCCTGTAGTATCGGCAGGGAAGTCATAAAACCTGCTTGGTCTCCTCCAGGCGGGTCAGACGGGGCTGATGCTGGCCGTCAGTCATGGCAGGATGGACATGGTTCGGGCCTTGCTGGCCCACGGAGCCGACGTTAACATCCAGGACGACGAGGGTTCCACGGCGCTGATGTGCGCCAGCGAACACGGCCATGTTGAGATCGTCAAACTGCTGCTGGGCCAACCGGGCTGTGATGCCACTCTCAGCGACAGCGTGAGTTTAACATCACATATTAAAATAAATACTTTTTAAATAACCTGATCTGATACAGAGCTGTAAGGCAGAGGATGAGCTGAAAACTAGTGATCCATTGATTTTGTTTGGGAGGCTTTAGAGCAGAGGTCTTCAATAGCGGGTCCGCAACCCCTAGGGGGTCCACGAAGGTACTGCACGGGGGTCGCAAAAGTTTTGATTAGAATTTGATTTTTAGACTCCCCCTGCAATTTTTTCCACTAATTGAAATATCTTTAAATCTACATTAACATGAATTCATCACACTGTAGTAAACAGATAAATGGAGGCAGAAGATGTATTTCATCAATGCACATATTCAGAGACACACAGGAGCTCTTTCAAGCTGGGCACCAATTAATTCACAACACCTGTCCCATCAACCAGGAATCAGAATCAGAAATACTTTAATAATCCCAGGAAGAAATTACTTTCGTTACATTACTCCATCTGTAATAGAGTGACTATAGGACCAGTTTGATATAACACAATATATATAATTAGGGGGTCCCCGCTCCATCTCGCCATCAGTTTGGGGGTCCTTGGACTGGAAAACGTTACATAACAACAACCGCTTTGTTTATTGATTACAACCAAAAGTGGTAATTTACAAATCGCCAAACTGCAGATCCAGAAATTGAATTTATGGACAAAGGAAGTGAATTTGTGCTTGATTGTTAATTTCTTTGTAGTAATAAAGTGTTCTAGCAGTAAATCTCAGAGGTGGGAGATGTGGAGTCAAAAAGTCATCTCCATGAGTCTTATCTGCACTAGTTAACTCACTGTCTATATTGGAATCACCTGGTTCAGTGACTGGCCAGAACAAATGGATGACTTGGTGGCTGAACATTCGCAGAAACGGCGTCTGTCCAACCCAAAGTTAATTTAGGAAAATGGGCTGCAGGCTGGCGCTGAACTAATGAGGTGTCAGTCTGCTCATCGAACAATTTTTTAGTTGTAAAGGATCAAATAAAAAGACTGTTTCGAAGGTATTTTTTCAGTAAAAATGTACAAAATGTCTCTTTAAGCCTGTGAGACAGGCCTGCAGCTTAAGATTTTAAATAAGCTTACATTTCCTGACTTGGATTTCTCTTAAATGACCCAAAAACCCAAATCTGGAAACATTTTATTTAAAATAAGATGTAATGGAAAAAAACTTTAGGCGTTAAAACGGGAAGTTTATTTTCAAAGTTATTCAGGAGTGGAACTGTACATTAATGGAAGATGTTACCTCAATTATTCATCTATTCATTATACAATAAAACTTGAAGTTATTATTAAAGCTTAACTGATAAATGTTTAATTGAGACATGAGTTGTCATTTCCAAGAGGGACCTTCTGATCTGTTTTTAATCCTCTGAGAGGATCTGACTTGGCTATGATAAATATGCTAATTAGCTTACAGCTAATGCAAAGTTGACTTTTATAATTTATTATCATGGATGAAAAATTGGAAAAAAGAAAGCATGGTAATGCTTCCATTTTTAGACTTCCTTCTGTTATTATGTTCTGATAAGTCTAAAGGAAAAAATAAGACTTTCTGTCGGAAGAAAAAAAAATCTTTATATATATATTATAAGGCAACAGTTAGAGATAAACCAAGATCCCACATTGTGGTCAATGGTTCCAGGAGCTCTGTTGGGTTCTTCACAACCATTGGATCATATAAATAAATAACCAAAACCCAAAAAATGAGAATTTATCATTCCTATTGGGCCCTGGGTGCACTACTCTTGAATTCTCAATGCACGAAGTAGTTATCTACCAGGGTTATAACATTGTGTTTGTCCAGTTCTTCATTGTAGTACATCTACATTTTTATTTCTTAGTTGATATTTTCATCAGCCTGTAGAATAGCCAACTGATTTATACAGACTTCTCTTTTGCTTGGTTATAATCTATGTCTCACTGACTTCCTTCACCTTTAGGATGGCAGTAACGCTCTCTCCATCGCCCTGGAAGCAGGACACAAGGACATCGCTGTGTTGCTTTATGCACACGTTAACTTCTCCAAAGCCCAGTCTCCTGTAAGTCTCCGTCTCCACCGTTCAGCAATGCAGCGTAGGTTTATTCATGCCTCACGTTTTATGTTCATGACTCTCGCAGGGAACGCCACGACTTGGAAGGAAAACTTCACCAAGTCCGACTCGGAGGGGAATGTTTGACTAGAGACTCCTTCCTGATCCCACCAACGCTGCGCTGCTATTGGCTCACACAAGAACGACGCGTCCTTCCTCAATGTTGACAACCAACCAATGATATTCCTGGATTTTTTTTTTTTTTTTTATATGTATGCATCTTCTTATCCGCCTTGATGAGCCCAAAGTGCCCTTTGAATATGAATGTAACCATCAGGTGCCTCAGATCCATCAGATTGTGCCTGAAATGTCTCATTTATCATCAGCCTCTTTTTGGCTTCATTTTTATTTCTTATATAAGCTCGCAGATAATCATCAAATTCACTCTGCCTTATAAGAGGGGGACTATTTCCTGTATATAGAGCTCACCTCACCACCCCAGTCCCAAATAACCCCCATAAACTCACATTGGTGAATCCTTTAGTATTCCAATGTAACCTGGACTGGACAAATTTTCCTTTTTTTAAAGTCTCTAACTATTTAAAAAAGAAAAAACTACAGTATTTTGAATACCTTCTATTACTCCTCAACAATCCATGAAGTTATATATTTATCAGAGTATAGTTTTTAATACAGATATATGTATTTCATTGTACATACAGTGGTCATAGAGTCTAGGTGTGTCCGGTTTCTGTCTGTCTGGTTTAATATAAGCTGTGCCCTCTAGTGTTCGTCAAGGTGCTGACTTTCATCTTCACATGGAAATTGAAGTGCCTGAAACGTTGCCTTTAACTATGATTATTGATAATTAAAGTGTTGAAATCGGTATGTTTTGTTTGAATTATTGGATTATTAGGGGCTGACCCTGTTACTGAGTTGTAACAGGGTGGAAACAGTTTTTAGGAAGAGATGGTCATGATGAGACAGAGCAAGGAGATGATCAGCTATTATATGATCAGCAATATCAGCAGCTTTAAATAGTTTTCTGTGTTTGAATGTTATGATGGCAATTAACAGTGTGTCCCTCTGCAAAGGATTCGCCTCGCTTCCTAAATGTATTTTTCTCCTATTATCCATTCTTTGCTGGTGTTCTCGGGATTCATTTGAAGAAAGTTGGATTTGGTGAAAGGCTGGAGGTCAGAGATCCCAAAGATGAACGAGAAATGGTGGCCGATCTGGAGCTCCTCAGAATCATGGGTTTCCTGAGTCAGAGAGGAAAATTAAAGGTCTGCATCATTTTCACAATATCTTATCAGTCCTCTTTAAAGATGTGATAGAAGTGGTGATAAAGCCTTAAAACGTCAAAGTAAATTCCCAAAAAAAAAGAAGGAAACAAAGCGGTTTTCCTTGCAACAATCTGACTCCTTTTCTTAAATTTTAACCAACCTGGGCAGAGATGAGAGGCTGCTGCTCGATGCGGCTCCTGTCCTACAGAGGGAGTCTCTGGGTTTCACTGCGGGTTGAGGAAGGAGGCGGGAATCACGAGCTTTCTGACGGGACGGCTGGGACAGAAAACTCCGACCTGGATCCAGGCGCTCTGCTCTGTTCAGATACAAATGGGGATGATCAAGATGGACATGGTTCACTTGAAATAACTTTCAGCCATTCTACTGTTCTGTATTAAAAGCCACTCCCACATAAAGCAAAATTTAATGTTTTCTGCCACGAGTCCATCCATAGTTTCACTATGAGATTAAATCTAGTTTTCATGCATTTTAAGAGATAAAGAAGCAACTAGGGGAAGAAGAAACCGCTTCTTGAAGCTGGTTTTGGACGGAGAATGTCTTATGTCAAGAAATCTTGGTGTTTGGTCCCCCACAGAGATACCACTCTATATTAGACATGTTCCTATGGATTTTGACTCGCATTGCAATGCTTTAGTTCCTTTAGTATCCCTGCATGGTTTCGGAACTAAAACAATCTCCGCTCCCTCACCGGAGGTTTCAGACCGTAGCATGAATGCTGAGCAGCATAAAGAGGGGAACTGTTACCGTGTTGAATCTGGGTCAGATTTCTGCAGCTCTCTCTGTGCAGACGGAGCTCTGATTGATTGTCGGTTCAGCAGCTCCTGCAGGTTCTGCAGTGTCCTCCTCCACGGGGGGACAGCGTCCACGTCCTGCTGTTGTGTTGGAGCCTCCTGATGGGAACAAACCCTTCATCAGAACCTCATGCTGTGAAGGAACGTCGGATGTTTGCAGGCACCTGGACACTTAAGCCCTAAATAATTCATACTGCTGGTAGATTTAGATTTGACCAGGAAGTTGTCCAAAGATGCATTTCAATCAGGTCGATGCAGGAAAACGTCTAAATTAAGAACTGTGGTCCTTGAGGACCTGGTTGGTGTAGAAGAGATTACTGAGAGGATCACAAAGAAGCTATTATTCAGTTTGATCATTTAATACATAAAATGAAGATCAACATTTAGATTTTAGATAAAGACAAAATCAGTTTCTTGGTTCCCGTTTCCTAATAAAAGCACTTCCCATAAATTAATACTGATCGGAATAAATTTCACTATTAATGTTCTCATTTAATATACTAATTGTCTGACTTTAATCCTTTAAATCTGGGTTCCATCATAATTTATTTATAATCATTTTGAACTTTCTTCTATGAAACTTTTGTTATAGTTTTTAACCTCAGCAGGAGGTTTGATAAATATTCCTGGGTGTTGGAGAAGGAAATCTGTAAATTTAGAGTGAGTTTTTATTTTTCTAGTTTTACCTTCAGCACCTGTAGGAGACTGTTTGCTGCGTCCTGCATGATGCTCCTCATCCTGTTCTTCCTCCTTCTCTCGTCTTTCAGCTTCACCTCCAGCTGATTTCTTTCCATCCGGCTACTGCTCCACTCTGCGGACAGAGAGGCCCGGTCCAGTCTGGAAACACACCATGATTTAGGTTCTGTTACAGCAGAACCTTTTGCTATTTTTAATCAGTGTAATGATCAGTTTACAGTCTAATCATAAAGTGATCAAACTAATGATATTTGAATCTATGTATATTTTTATTTCTTTGGGCTAAGGATTTCTCTATAACAGACTATTGTGAGTTATGTCGCTTAGATATGCAGCTCCCTTCTGACCGGTTAATCAGTTCTGATGTCTGTTTTTTTCATTTGCTTTTTTATTTCACCTCGTTTGGTACTTTTATCTGAAGGTTACGTTAAAGATCAAACCATTTATGATCTCTCTGCCATAAAGGGCTTTAATTAGGAAATGCCTAAGCTTTTTTTTCCATAAAGAAATTTAATAGTCAAATCCAAAGAAAAACACTTCTTCCATTGTTGGCTAAAATTTACTCCACAAATAAGCTAAATCAGGACCTGAGTGCCTCCATGTCGGCCAGGACTCGTGTGTGCTCAGTTTGAAGCTGCTCCAGTTGCTGCTGCTTTTCACTGACATCCTCCTGAAGCTGCTGAAACTTTCCCCTAAGCTGCTGCACCTCCTGATGGAGAGATCACCGGGTCTGCTCAGGATCTTATTTTGAAACCAGACGATGGGACACTGCAGGAAAGCCTCTCACCTTCCTGCAGACGCAGCTGATCCGAGACGTCTCACGGACCGTTTGCTCCAGGATGTCGTTGTCGACGCTGAGCTGTCTGCGGCGTTCCCTCAGAGACGTGTTCTCCTCCAGCAGGGACTCGGTCGCCTCTGACAGCTTGCTGAGACGAGTCTTCAGCTCAGTGTTCTCCTGAAGCACAGACCTGATCTTCTCCGGAAGCTTCTGTTCCACTAGAAGCTGGACCTTGGATGACATAGCTGCTACTTCACTTTCCATCTCCAACCTTTTTTCAGGAAATAAAGAACCAGAAAAGGACAAACATGTCAGATGATAAAATCCCTCTAAAATCTTTAATATAATCATAAATCATATGTTCTTGTTTTATGTGATTATTAAACCAAAAGTAGCATATGATTCTAAAGTAAAAGATGGATATGTTGTTAAAACCACTACGAGACACAACCATGTTACTCTAAAGGACTTTGAGGCTTTAGAGATGGAGAAATAACCCCCTCTATCATGACCTTAACTTCCTCTTTTCCAGCAGATCCTTCATCTCCAGGCTGTGGATCTCATCCTTGTGTTTTTCTTGTTGGCATTCCAGCTGCTTCTCTAGATTTTGAAGCTTTATCATCAGTTCATCCTTTTGCCTCTGAAACTCTTCCAGATCAACAAGTTTCTTTACTGTCAGGAAAGGAAGAGGAAGAGTTAGGACCTTGTGTCAGATATTGGTTCCTATTCTAACAATTCGTTGACGATCCTTTGCTTTTTGAGAGAGAGACATTTTAATCTATATCATTTCAATGCCATTTTTGCCCTCAGCTCTAATATTAAAAGTTCTCTAGAGACCTACAACAGATGTTGCAACAGTTTCAACATCCGAACAGATCATGACCCTGAATTATCTTGTAGACACGGAGGGGGAATTATAGAAGAACGGGTTATTCTTCCTGCCCACACTACAAAGATATTTTGTAATCTTGAAGTAAAATGCCTCACCGAGCACTGCGTTTTTTTCATTAAGTTCATTAATTTGGGCGTCTAGTTCCTGCCTCAGTTTGTCGTGTTTCAGCTGCAAGGACTGTTTCTCCTGGACAGCAGCCTGACGTTGAGCCTCCAGACGCTGCAGGAGATCATCAGCCTCGTCCTCCTTTTCAGAGAGTGTGCGTTTCAGGTACTCTGTAACATCCTTCTTCTCCGTGTCCAGTGAGCTGTACTGAGAAATTAGCAATTTGTTCTGCTTCTCCAGTTCAGCACATTTGATCTGAAACCTGGAGGACAAAGATGGGGAGAAAAGTGAACTTATAGGAGACTGCAGAGATTTTAGGCCTCATTATCAGATTTATTTGCTTTTATTTAACACATTTTAACATCTTTTAGTTATATCTGCTTTTTTACAGCAAACATCTACCCCGTTCTTTAATGTTTACGCATTGTTTTTATTTTCCACCATATTTAAGAGATGGAATCAGCTATTTATACAGTTATCAAACAATTTGTTTTACTTTAGAAAATTTAAAAATTAAATAAAAAGGTGAGGCCATTATATATACTTTGTTCACTATGTTTTTATAGAGTTTGCCCTTTTTTGTTTACAGCAGCACATCTTATTTACAAAACTACTGATTAACTTTACATCTCAGGCAGGAAAAACAAAATGTTTGAAGGTTGATAAAGGTTTAAACATGTGACCTGCAATGGATGATTAATATAAAGAAATAATAGAAGCATGGTTATAGACTTATGAGCTTTGATTTAATAAAAAAAAAAAAAAAGGAGCTTTGAATTAAAAGGGAAATTTGTTGAAACCACTTGAAAGTTCCTTTTTTAAATATGCCAAACTCAAATAAAATGTCAAGGCGTCAAATCCATCTACAAGAAAAACTTCTTTATGTACTGATTTAAAAAAAATGGCTACCATTTCACCTTCAAGTAAGAAAACATGGACGTTACCTTTCTAGTTTCTCGTTCAAAAATCCAATTTGCTTCTGATATAAACTCTTTTCTTTATCGTCGATGACAGCTTTGGTTAAAGGACTCGCGAGGTTCAGTTTTTTCTTGTTTTTGTCGCTTTTTCTCTCTTTCTTTCTAGGCATCGTGATTAGCTTTACTCGAATCCCTCGGCGGGGCTCCCAAACTCCAGCGTCGCCTTGGCAACGCTGCCTTCCGGGACCCCTCGTAAATTTAGATTTCTCCCAGACATGGTAGACATATTTAGTAAGAAAAGAGGGGTTTGAGAATAATTTTTTGTCTGACAATTTCTTTTTGTTATCGAAGCTTTCTTTCCGAAACGGGTTGTGGTGTAATGACGTCATTCTCGTTATTTTTCAGCTTTATTCTCATAATATTACGACTAGATAAAAATCTTTAGCCTGGCCCTAATATTCCGTCGTAAGAATTGTAAACCCGTAAAAAGAAAAATAAGAAATAAAAATTTATATAAAAATATATATAAACATTTTTAATAATAATAAAAAATGAATATTAATAACAAACCCAATCAGTCCAAGGGAGAAATCGGTTACAATTTTAGTGCATAACATAAAACAGTTTTAGTGTCATATCTTCAGCACAGTGGCCATTTTACAGGCGCACTGGTTTCCTGTTGGCACCTGTCTAACCCAATCTGGACCAAAGATTCCCATCCCGTATTTTAGTTAACTTCCAAATGTAGAGCCTCCAGATCATAATGAAAAAAAAGACATTTGCTACACTACCTTATGGAAAGAAAGGTAATTGTTTATTAAAGTCATTGGATTGAAAATCTTTTCAGTGAGAGAAACAGATTAGGCCTACAAAATAACTTATGTTTTCTTAAAAATTCACAATGAGAGCAGCTATGGAAAAGGTATCAGATTCACTTGTATGGCATATCTTTATGCATTAAAGTTTATTTTTTGTTCATATACATTAACAAGTTTAATTGGAACTGGTTGTGTTTGTGAGAAGAATATTATAACAGTCACATGTTCAACAATATGAGCTGATGAAAATAATATTAATCTAATTTTTTTCCTGGGGGTGCTACAGTATGATTTTACCAGGGGTATGTATACCACCCCCTGCTGCCACCACAGCTGTACTGCAAGAACAATAAGAAACAAATACAAAGCTTTAATAAGTAAAAATAATTGATTCAATTGTAGAAAAACAGACACAATTAAGTCAAAGAAATTGTAAAATATCAACTTTTTTGAAAAATATCTAGACCTAATTTTATCTGAGAAATTTAGACTGCACCTTCCTCATCTGTGTCAACCTGGCCTAGAGATCAATATCTCTTTCATGTATAAGTAATGATTTCTACATGGTTAAAGACATATTAATGTAGAAATGCACAATTTTAATATTAAATTGTGTTTTGCAACTAAATCTATATAGAAATCATTATAAATGCAAAAGAAAGTCAAATAATTGTTCTTTGGGGCTCCATGTCAATAAAAACCTTAATAATAAGTCATCCTCCAGGTCTCTCCAGGTTGACTTATTATTAATAACCATACAGTTTTGCTCTCAGATAGGTGTTTCCTTTTTCCTTTTATTGTACAGCCTTGCTCAAAATAGTCATTTATTGTCATGTTATTAGGGGCTGTGTATACAGTTTTTGTTTTCCATATATGCGTTTTGTGACATATGTGACAAGTGTTTCAGATAAGAGAGAGAGAGAAAAAAACACCTTTCTATGGAAAACCAGAAGAGTCACTGAAAAAGAAAAAAACAAACAAAAAAAACCAAGACATTTCAAATGTAACATTAAAACATGCATTACGGAGTTTTCTAACGATACCTCAACCTGTTGCCAAAACACAGGAGTGCAGCTTTCTTCTGCTCATTCTTGTAGCTCGTGCTTATACTTGACAAAGTTTTATTTTTTTTAGGTGGAGTTGCCATTGTGTCTGGGTTGGGCTAGATGCTGTTTGCTTCTAAGTATCCACAACATCCATCTTCAGTATAACAATTCAGCTGTTTCCTAGGTTGGGTCCTTGTACCGTGGATCCTCACCAAACTATGTTTAAGTCGTGAAGCGTGAAATAAAAAGGCTATTTTATAGATATTTTTCAGTACAAATGTTGAAGTCATTAAATCAGACAATGGGACAGGTGTTTTGTAATTGCACTTTTTAAATCAAATGATTCAGAGGAATTGTAAATTGTGTTGATTAATTAATTATTAAATACTGTGATTTGAAAATGTATTTTAAACTCTATTTCCAAATGGATACACAAACCACAGATCTGATTATAAATATATATCAAACATTTACCTTTGTCCACTTCCATGTCCTTTTTAGATAAAAATTTCAAATCCCTTTTGTTTTTGCATTTTCTGTTTTGCTTTACCCTCTCTATTTAGCATTTCTGTGACCCTACTGTAAACCCAAATAAGTTTAGAATACACACAACATTTGTGGAAACCGATTAACTCAAAGTTTGTGAGTAAGTTTGAATATTTAAGTTTGAAGTACTTAGATTTTTTACGGCATTTACATTATGATGTAAAACTTGTAAGTACATTATTACTTATGTATCTCATAATAATGAGATAGTATATTATCTCATAATAGAGATTTTTTTTAGAAAATTGCTTTCACAGTTTGCACCAAAGTTGGCCACCCATCTAGGTCCGCCCCTGTTCATGACATTTTAAGTTTTTGAAACAAAACCTTTTTAATTTCTAGCTGATTTCAGGGAGGGATGCCTCACAGCTTCTCTCCTGATAAGGATGCTGTGTCTGGGAGGGGCTGGCCTCAGAGCATAAAAGTGACTCCATCTTCTGCCACCATCAGCAGGCAGCCATGGGGAAGGAGAGGCAGACCAAGAAGGGACCAAACCCCACATCTCCGCCTATAGGCCGCAAATCTCCCAGGAAGCCGAAATGTTCTCGCTGCAGAAATCACGGTTTCTTCACTACTTTAAAAGGACACAAACGCTTCTGCGACTGGAAGGACTGCCAGTGTCCCAAATGCAAACTGATTGCTGAGAGGCAGCGTATCATGGCGGCCCAGGTAAGCTTCACCTTCACCCTAACAGCCCTTAAAACACCCAACTCCCGCCCTCCAGGCATGGAAACTCAGCAGAGAAAAAAAATGAATGAATGATATAATCTCCTAAAAGAAATAAATTACTCTAACTTGTATTTTTTTATTTTAAACAAAAATGTCCCCCCACCAAAAAAAAAAAAAAAGATAAAAGAAAATGCTAAGCTAGCTAAGTTTCTATAGAGCTAAATTTGAATTTCTGCTACATTATACCCAGAAAACAAAAGCTGAAAGTGATTAAAACTAATAATAAAACATTTATTTTGTGTATTCTGAAAGAACTTATCTGGAAACTTTGTAACATGCTTATCTAGTCTTTTCTGTAATTCGTGGCTATGTTTAAATTGTTACTTTCGCTATTCTGCATTGATATTTTCAAAATAAAAATGAAATATTTTGACAGAGCCAAACGTTTAAAGTGATTCAATTCAGTTTCTTGTAGTTAAAATAATCTAAAAAATAACTTCTAAAGTCACAATAAATGTTGTTTTTAATCAAACAGTTTAATTAGCATATAAGGTACTTTGTCAGGGGAAAAGTGCAAATTATTGAATAATTGACTGAAAACTTTCCTTAGAGATATGTTGGTAATTATTTATCTTATTAAAGTTTATTTATTCATGAATTTTCCTCAGATATTATTATATGAAAATAACACAAGAAAACTTTCATGAATGATTATAATCCAGCTCTGTTCATTTTTAATCAATTTTAAAACCAAGAAATACAATTACATAAAACAGATAAACCATCCCCGACTTAGAAAACAAAAAAAAAAAAGCAAAAAACACTGGATTATGTTATTTTTTTTTTCTTTTTCATAAGACAAACTCCTAGAATTTGATCAGCTACTGAAATCAACAGCTGCAGTGTCCACTGGGAACAGATATGACTCTATTTAGCCTTTATAGTTTAAGAGTTCGTTTACTACTTGGTAAAAAAGGGTAGATATGACGTTATTTTATTGTAATATAGTAATGAATTTAGTTCTGCATTAGTTTGTATTTTTCACAATAATGCTGATTTTATTCTTACATTTCAAAACATTTTTATGTAACCGAGAAAAACAATTGAGGACAAATGTTTCTGATAGTTTTAATCTGTAAATTCTGTTGTTTTAAACAAATAGTATTAAAAAAAATAAAAAATAAATGAGCTGAGATAACTATTTGCAGTTTTTAATGGTGGGTTGGTTTCTGTTCTCTGAAGTGGACTTTTTTTTTAATGACACAAAAAAACAGATTTGGAGTTGAAAACTGATATTATGGATTTTTCTGTTTGTAAAACTGTTGTAAAAGATAACACCTTTATAAACATAAAAAAACGTGTGCTACATCTTTAGATTGAAGGTGATCAGTGTATGAAATTATTTAGGGGAAAATAAATCTCAATCGATTACAAAGTACTGTTTGCTAACTTATTAGAAGGGAGCATTAAAAACTAGTTAGTCTTAATCACGGTCCCAAAATATTATTTAGTATTTTTTAATTTTGTAAATGTAATAAAGGGGACATTTGTTTTAATCCAGACCCATTATAATAAAGTTTTCCTCTCCCTAAAGGTCGCACTAAGGAGACAACAGGCCCAAGAAGAGGAAATGGGAATAAGCATTCCTGTGGCTTTATATGGCTCTGATGTTATGATGAAAAACGAAGCGGCTGCCGATTGTCTGTTCTCTGTGGAAGGCCGATCCTCCAGCTCCCCCTTCAACATCGGCCCCTCCTCTCTGGCTGTGTCAGGTGAATCGCTGCTGTCCCAAAAAGGATCCCTTCCTGTAGCTTCTTTAAAGGAATAGTACACCCAAAACATGATTAGTCTTCATTTTCTACTCACCTTCATGCTGAACAACACTCTGGAGTACT